ATTATAACATGTTTCCAATTTAGTTGACGATATGGCCTGATGCATGTCCAGTATATAGTATGCATGTATACTCATGTTCAGTGTCAATCGCATGCAACTAGTGTCACTATTGGTCAAGATATACGATATCAAACACGTCAAAACGACACTTTCGGACATGCACTTGATGGTCATGATACACATTGAATATTGCACCAATGACGACGTAATCATATACACAATACATGACTGTATGTGTGCCATACATTGCAGTTGTCCCTGACATTGTACGACCACTGTGGACCAAGTTATTAACACGTCAAACATCGACTATAATATCCAACCTACAAAACGTCAGCTATTCAATTACTGTGTTATCAAACATGCATGGATTGTATTGAAATTGTACATGATACAATACCAAGTGTATACAAGTATTGTCATGTCACCATATCAACACAGGCTTGAGTATTGGTTGTGAAATCGACCATTTAGTACGCGATTGTGATGATGCAAATGGTCCACTTTGAACGCATATAACTTGGCCAATACTAGTTATTTCCCAGCCATATTTAAACTGATTGTGTATATGGTATATCACCATTGATTGAGCATGCATATGCACGGTTTGCAGACATTTATAATTTGTTAAAGAAATCAGACCTTTGTTGAAGCAATCAAACATTGCCGCTTTACAAACAAAGCTTAAAGTGGAGATATTATATCTCCACTTTCTCCACTCACTCCCTTAACTAAATTACTATAAAAGCCAAGATACTTTCTTACTAAATAAACCATCCTCTGAATATCCTCTGAATCAATCTTCTAAATATCATCTGACATAACTTCGTTATTATCTATTAAGTTTAACTCTTTATTCTGTTGACTTTCATTTGCGTGACTACTTCCTGATTATCATTCAAGATCTCTTCTGACCGATCTTTTCTACAGCGGCAGATTATATATTATTACCTTATACTTTACTAATTGAAAGACTCAGTCTCTTTCTATATTTTCTATCTCTATACTTCTTGCGCGATAATCAAAATCTTTAACATAATTCGTGTTGAATGTGTTGTATGTGACCATTTGAAACTCGACTAATTGTGGTGTATTTTGACATGTATATTGACTGATGTTTAGCGTCTGTTCATGTGTCATTGATGCACCATTGACATGCTGTATTGTCCAACATTATGTCGTGATGTTGTAATCAACAAATTGGTGCAACACTGAATGTATGTGGTGATTGTCGAGTATCGAGTTGATCTAGTTGTTTCTTGGTGTTTTCAATATCTATAAGCATCTTGTTCATAATTCCAAGGTATGTGTGTCAATGGTCTTGTTGCTCATAATGTGTATTTGCTATTAGGTTATCAACTGTTGGTAGTGTTGCTTGTGGACATATGACGACATATTGATGTTGTATATAGTTTGGAGGAATATCACAAAAGTCAAAGATAAGCGTGAAAAAATGAACCAATATGTTGATTGTGTTGTTTAATAGAGTAAAAGGTTGACCCTTTTATAAAAATAATATGACAGTTATGCGTATCCGTGATTTAAACAACATAACTGATAAACTCCCTTGTTACCCTATAGTTATTGCATAAAAGGTGGCGATAGTCATTGCATCAAACAGTTATGCGTTGCGTATGGATCCTGATTCGTTTTATATTAATTGCCTAATATGTCTCACATTACCAATGTCCAACATTTTCAGGTACAACTACTTGATCAGTTGTAGTTATGGTTTCCTTTTGCGAATAAATGTGCCACTTGAACTTGAAGTAGTTGGTTGTTCAGGCAATCTAACACTATGCATCAAATTCATAATCAGTATCAATCGACACATCAATATCAAGCAGCTTACCGTGGTAATGGCCAGAGCACTTGATCACCGTTTGAAATAGTAGGATACCTGTTACTTGCAGTTTCACATCCACATCCAGGACCAAACCCAATGCGTGTATGTGCTCGATCAAATGTCAATCCAAGTTGGGTCATAAATGGAATACCAAGAATTGCATAATCATTTGAACCAGCTGCTACAATAAACACAACTATAATTCGACATGTACATTAGTCAGGTTAATCAAACAACACATTGCATACAATTGTCAAATATTTACCATGTTTGGAGTCAACTCTCTGTATATAGTCTTTGGGACCCAACTTGATTGTTACAACGGAATTGCAATTGGCATCAGTTACGGGGGTTTGAGCAAACATTGTAATTGAAAGCGTTGGCAGCTTGCCCCAATCGATATCAAAACCGGATTCAAGCATTGCGTAGTTTTGCGAAAATATTTTTTTAACCATTACTTTTCCGAGTTTGTCACTAAATATATTAATGTTGACAGTGATTGCACCACTATCAAGAATAGCATCAACCAACGCTGTCACGACTACTTCAGGAAAACGCATATGTAAAAAGCATGTTTCCACACTCGAGTACAAAATACGTCCATTTTCCATTATTGTTTTTTGGAATTCCTCGGGCAGATCCACTGGTTCGTCATTGACTAGTATACTCTTGATGTTGATGGCAA